TTGCGGGAAATGTGTTCCTCAGACTATCTCTGAGTCAGAAATCTATAAATTTCAGGTGTACCACGGGCGTGGGTTACTATTGAATAGGCTTCTACTTCAAAATACGAAATACTAATACTACTTCTACGGGAATTCTAGCAATTTCGGTTGCTTGTAGACCTTTAAAAAAAAAACGAAATTTTTGACGGAATGTTACGACTAGTAAGTAGTTGTCTTAACTTACTCTATCTATTGACTTTACGCATATATGAATATAGCCAGATTATTTCACTGTTCTAGAGATTCCTGAAATCGATGAGCGGCATCGACCTCTTCGAACTACCGCAGTTTCAAAACCGATTCCCTATCCGAGTCTTACAGTATACCTTAGCTTAGGCCCCTTGCTCTGAGGCGGCGCGCCTGGCCACAGGGGGAGTCTCCCTGGTGGTCGGGCGCATTGAGGCGCTGGGCTTACGGGTGGCCCTAGATAAGACGGAGGCCCTGTTATTTCATGGGCCCCGTCGTGGTCCACCCCCTGGCGCCTCAATCGTGGTCAACTCGGTCCTCGTACCGGTTCGGGCCCAGATGAAATATCTGGGCCTGATCCTCGACGGGAGGTGGCTCTTCGACGAGCACTTCCGACAGCTTGCTCCAAAGCTGGTCGGCGCTGCGTTTGCCCTAGGGCGACTCTTGCCCAATATGGGTGGACCCAGCGTCGCGACAAGACGGCTGTACACGGGGGTTGTCCGGTCAATGGCGCTGTACGGTGCACCGGTGTGGGCGGCGGCTCTGACCGCCCAGAATAGGGTACGCCTCTGGCGCCCTCAGAGGGTAATGGCGGTCAGAGCCATACGCGGTTACCGCACCGTTTCTACGGAGGTGGCATGCGCGTTGGCCGGAACTCCCCCGTGGGATTTGGAGGCGGAAGTGCTCGCCGAAGTTTATCGGCGAGTGGCTGACTCCCGGGCGGAGAGCGGATTTCGCCCTCCGCCCGAGGATGTGCGCGAGTGGCGCGAAGCCGCTCGCCGAGCCACGATGGCTCGTTGGTCGTTCCGGCTGGAGACTCCACGCGCTGGCTTCGCCGCCGTGGAGGCTCTCCAGCCGGTCATCGCCGAGTGGGCAGGGCGGCAGCACGGGACCCTTTCCTTCCGGCTGACGCAGGTGCTTTCCGGGCACGGTTGCTTCGGGAAGTACCTGCACTCGGTCGCTAGGAGGGAACTGAGACCCGATCCGCCGCCGGCGAACCGGGCGGCGGAGGCCCGCCTATCACAGCCTCATGCCGCCCTGAGTGTGGCCGCGGGTGGACGGGGTGGGTTTCCCCTCCACCCGCATTAGTTTGGCCAGCCGCGAGGGGGCGGCGTCCGCGTGTGCCGGACGTCGCCTAAAGAGAGGAACATCAACATTGAGACGGAGCCCGCACCAGGAGCGGGCTGGCGCTAGGAGGGGTCCGGATGTCTTAACAACAGCTGTTCCCGGATCCCTCCTGTTACAGGCGCAGAGTGGCACACCGTGTGGTTTTAGTCGGTCCGAGTCCGACACACCACCCCGCCGCAAACCCCGGAGGGGTGACGGTCCGAGGGGATTTCCACACGATAAAAAAAAAAAAAAAAAAAAAAAAAAAGGCCCCTTGCTCTACCCATGCACCCTAATTTACCTTCTTCAATGCTTCTGCTAGAACTCAATCATATTCCCTAGCAGGGCTGGCGTAAGGCACGCCGCCGTCCCTTAAAAGAACATAGTCAAAACCTTTGCAATTTAACGCATTGTGGAAAGCCTGAATAAAATTGGTGGACGGACACAAAGATGATAGAATTTCTTAAGTATAATATAAGTTACTCTAGCAAATCGAATCGCAATCAACTGTAAGTGTTGCGAGCCTATTACTTGATGTAACCCGCAGTATTTTGTGGGTCTGAGAGGCCTATCTCAGTTAAATAATATAAAGAATCTTCGGTGTCATTTCTTCCCTAGTACTTAAATATGTGTTAATTTAGTAAAATATATGTGAATTGATTTATTTGTTTATTTAATCGGTTAACTCGCAGCATGCATATGTGTCATCCATCGTAAAATCTTAGGTAATAAGGTTCTGATGTGCATGCCGCTTACGAGCTAACAAAGCGTTTACAGTTGAGACAATTTATTAAAACAAAATAATATTAGGTATAACCAAAGTTAAAAAAATAAACATTATACCTTCCCTTATATATAAGTTTTAAAAACATCAATTGCGTTTTAAACCTAAAAACACAAACAGCAGTTTAAAATAAATATAAAGTGTATTATGTTAGATATAATTTTCACGGCGATAAAATAAGAGAAAAAAGCTCAATCTGTTGAATGGCTTTAATTTATTTAATGCATTACCTTTACATATTAATTTTTCGTAGCATAAATTTATAAATAAAAATATACCTTATGCCGTTCATCACTCGAAAGCTTTAATTAGTTATGTTGTTTTTGTTAGTTAGTAAAAGTACTTTTTTTGTAAAGCATATTGTCACGATATATCATGAACTTTCGAGAGAAAAGTTACGAATCGTCGAAAAACTTTATTGGCCGCACAATGCCGCCTGGTAATCTATACCAATAAATAAAATTGAAGTGGCTGTTTATAATGTCAAAATAAAAGGGCTCACACGGTTATATGCACGATACCTATGCCTAATAACCGGTTTTTTTTTATCTGTCTGTCTGTCTGCTTGTTCCGGGTAATCTTCTATTTCCCACCAGGTAGCTGTCAATATAATAAGTAACTCAGGCCATTTTCCTCTCAGAAACCCTTTTTAAATTATGCCCGAAACGGAACACACACTATAAAAAATGGATAGTATGAATACAGGCACGCCTTCACCGGCATGACAGTTCAGTTTGAGCTATCCCTACAAATATTATAAATGCGAAAGTAACTCTGTCTGTCTGTCTGTCTGTTACGTTTTCACGCCCAAACCGCTGAATCGATTTTGATGAAACTTGGTACAGAGATAGTCTAGAACCTGAGAAAGGACATAGGCTACTTTTCAATTCGGAAAAAGGGCTGTAGGGGTGAAATAGGGGATGCAATTTTGTATGGCAATTACGTCATTTTTAAAGCTAGAAGCTTGAAACTTATTTTCTAGGCTTTTGATTCGATATAAATAAATACAGCATTCAAAGTTTTTTTAAAGCTTTCGTTTTGTCGTAGTTTTTTTGGATACATCATCATCAAAGTTAAAAGTTAATTCAGACTGTGTTAAAAAATAAATATATATATATGGATGAAGGTACAATCATAACTACTATAATATTATAAATGCGAAAGTTACTCTGTCTGTCTGTCTGTCTGTAGTCCTTTCTCAGGTTCTAGACTATATCTGTACCAAGTTTCATCAAAATCGGTTCAGCGGTTTGGGCGTGAAAACGTAACAGACAGACAGACAGACAGAGTTACTTTCGCATTTATAATATTAGTAGGGATTAAATAGGATTCAATATTGCACAAACGTAAGTTGTCTCCACAGAGAAGAACGTAGTCCTAAACCAAAATTTGTTCAAAATTATTTTGGGTGCAGCGCTCTTGGCTGTTCAGTTCTGCCTTCCTGAGTATATATAAGTGTGTATATAAGTTTTTATAAATAATATGAGGAGCACAAATAATTTTCTAGAAACTTCGTAATCTTTTAGCGCTCATAGATTTTGCTAACTCATTCATTTACCTGCATTCTTTATAGGATACGAGTATAAAGAATTTTCTTCAAGTTAAAAAAAATCTTAACAACTATATCATGTCATGTGAAGTATGGCATATTTAGAATACTTTAAGTTTATGTGCAGGACGAGTGCAGAAATGTAATAAGAAGTGTAAAATAATCGAAATAAACATAGGTGACAGCTGTCTAATTTTAGAGTTGCAAGTTGCACGGAAAAAAATTATTCTGAATTTAAAAAGCGCACTCTAACTGAGACACCACTTCACGAAGTTTATGTTAACGTCAGGCATAGATGCGATTTGTTTGTTTTCCGATTTTTATACGTTCGAAGAATCAAATGCTCGATTGGTTCTCGGGCCGAAAAACGATATTCCGATCAATACTTCGATTAAACTGATAAAATTTAAACTCTGATTCAGTTAGTATAATATTCAGTTACACATATATTTTAAATTTATAAGTAGAGTTTAATGTAATTAAAAACGTCAACTTTGTTATTAATATTTGTGTATTAATATTGTGTTTTGTGTTTTCTTCTTCTCCTTATGACTGCGTTGCGTACCATGTACTGTGTGTGTACTGAATTCTTTGGATTAGGTTGGAACAGTGGCGATTAAAGCCAGATACTCTCTATTATTGTTGAATCATTTGGGTTAGGTTGGAATAGAATTGTGACCATTAAAGGTTGTTGTTGGTGACTGGAGAATTTTAGATGTTTCGAATTATCATTATAGGCCGCATTTCAAGTCTCTACTTGTTCCCTACTGCTCAATTTGATATTACAAATATTGTAGTTAAGCAGTCGGGCGTCATCATTAAGTCTTAATGCTCTACTGATTGAGCAGTTTAGTACAGCAGTAGAGAATACTTTTTTTGTTTAGTGCCGCAGTTTATATTTTGAATAAAAATATGTCCACGTCCGCTATGTTTGCCTATCCGTAACACAATTTTTAACCATTCGGAATTATGAAATTCGGTATTTTGAAATTCGTATTTGTGACTGACGGAATAAAGATTTCGTATTTCTGTAGTGTACCCTGATGACACACACATTTACTCATATATTTAGGCCTAAACTTTAATTCCTCTACTCCAAAATAAAACTAAAAGAAATAGAATACTTTTATGTCGGGTAGGTATGAATCACAACCCATTTTATGTCGCAACACAATACACACAATATTCGTAATATAATTCATATACAATAACAAAGCTCTTACATATTTTCGATATTTTCTGTGTAATATTTTAGGAGTTGTTCTGTATCACTGACACAAGACACACTTTGTTTGATTTGTTCCAGTTCGTGGTCACACAGAAGTGCGCGTCGAGTTACAAATGGAAAGGTGGGCGGCGCGCGGTGGCTCGGTGCGGCTCCGCTGCATGCACGACGTGCCACCCCATCTCCTTGACAAAGTGGTCTTCCTCCGCCATGGCACCAAAATCTTCCAGTACATTAAGGACCGGAAACCGCCTTATAGAAACTTCACTACACCGGGAGCTGTGCTTAATGTAAGAGAATATTATACACATTTTCGAAAGTTTCATTTTGTTTTGATATCTTTCTCGAGCATTCCAAAAACCTCACTTCATAACCGCTACTTCCATTTACGAAGTTTTATTATCTATTATTAGTTAAAAAACTGTAAAGGTCTTTCTAAATGCATTATTCTAAATTAATAAAAAAACTATAATTAGTAACTAGTTGATAAATTTTACTTTCACATCACATCACATCAACAGTCTTTAAAAGTCCACTGCTGGACATAAGTCTCTCATTAGAAAGGACGTTTTGGCCTGCTATACCACGCTGGTCAGACGGATTGGTATAGGTTTTGTGTCAAGTTTTCCTTCTCTCTGCAGTGCTGTTGTTCTGCATAGGTTTTCTCCCTTAGTCGGCTCTTACGACACCCACGGGATGAATAGGGGTGGTGACACTCTGTATTCTTAATTCGTCACCACACGGATTTAAAATCTACAACAAATTAGTCTAACAAATTGTATTGCATTATTAATTAATGCAATACAATTTGTCAAATCTTTCAAAAGCTGGCAACACATAATGACTCTGAGTTGCATGTGTTGCACTCTGAATGCGGTAATTACTTACCGACAAAAAGACTTCAATCAGGAGTCAAGACGCGCTCATTTAAGTCCATACAGTTTATTTTTTACACAACGCTAGAATTAAAGGGTTAGTACTAGACTTGCAACGAATATTCGGTTACTATTCGGTATTCGGCCTATTCGGCTGCTTTTATTATATTCGGCCGAATACCGAATATCTACATATTATTCGGCCGAATACCGAATACTTAAATAATATATTTTGTCATGGAGAAATAATTGGTGAAATGAAAAATTAAAATCGATTGATTACGTATATATACATATTTTCATTTCTGTTATAATCATTTAAGTAGTCATTGGTGCATAACGCAGGTACATAATCATCTTCTGAATTGGAAAAAATGGAGGATTCTATGTATTTGAATTATTGTGGTAATCAAAATTTAGAAGGGTAAGGTTCTCATTTCTTTTATAATCATTTATTAAGTAGTCATTGGTACATAAAACAGGTACATAATTTAGTCATTTTCTGTATTAAACAAGTTAAGAATTTTTCTATGCATTTGAATTATTTTCATTATCAAAATTTAGAAGGGGAAGGTTATGGTGCAGAAAGACTAACTTTTCTGCATTTTTAGGAAGTAGTTTACTTCTTTTTTTCTCGTAGACCGTCCCAACTTCAGAGAAAAGGCGCTCTGAATAAACACTACTTCCTGGCGCCGACAAATATTTTGTCTGTACAAATATTTTGTGTGTAAATTTCTGGAATCACATTGTCTGAAAAGTAAGAACGACTTGGCATATTGTACCGCGGCAAAGCGCTATTAATCAGTCTTCTAAAACCAGCCCTTTCTACTATATTTACTGCCTCATTATCAAGTGCGATCATTTCAGCAATTAACACATGGTACTTTTTTGCCTTGGGGTCATTAATATCCCATAGTTTATTAATTTCTGCACATTTTTCAAGAGTTAATGGTTTTTTTGACGTTGAAGGTTTATTACTTACATTCGTATCTTGATTTGTAGTTCTTGTCCCTTAGGGAACGTGGGTACCAACTTATAATGTTCTTCATTGTGTTTATTTTTTAAATGATTTAACATTCCCGATGTTGTCGCCTTTCTTCCAACGCCACCATGAGAAAATTTTATTACGCACAGTTTACACACGGCACTTTTTGGATCATTTACATCATCCTCGAAGTATGCCCATATAGGCGATTTTTTTTATTATTAAAGTACGTTCGTAATTATTTAATTGTTTATTTGTTAAATTTCACACTATCACACTTACAAACAGATCAAAACTAAGAGAGCACAATAAACTGTACTTAACGTAATACGATATCCACGAAATGAACTTGTCGAAACATGCAGTGCGTTAGCAATTTATCGCGCAGAGCAACAGCGGGCGCGCGGGCGATGAGTACATTAGAACAAAACAAAGGAGCGCGAAACAATCACGTCTGTACAAGTTTTTGGCGCTAAAATCCTGCCGAATACTTTTGCCTAATATTCGGCTATTCGGTCAGGGGCCTCGCCGAATATTCGGTATTCGGTATACTGCCGAATATACTATTCGTTGCAAGTCTAGTTAGTACACATATCGACTATGTGCATATTATCAATCGAAAATATATACACTATCTAGACCCAAACAAAGCATATCTTGAACTATACGTTTATAGTTACTAACTAGTTAACTATACATTTTTGTCTTTTTTTTATTACATCTCATTTTCAAAGAGAACTTCAGAATTCAAAGTAATTTTTTGAGGTTTGAAATAGCATAAACTTTATTGTACACTAGTTTTTATTGTTTAACATTACATCATATAAATTTACTCAGAGTGCTTAAAACAGAGATTTACCTCCTTATACATAGAAAGGTTTAGTCCTTATGTCTAAGAAAAGTTTAATAAAATGAAATGAAAGAAATGATATTTATTTCTGCAAGTAAATCTTTACAGATATTTTTACAAGTCGGACTTTACAGCTAGAAGGTGCCTTCCTGCATTGTGCATTTCCTCTTTAACCACAGAGGTGCCTTTTATTTTTAAGTCCGTGTACAATGTTAAAGGGAACTATGAGACTGCAGTATAGGTCTGGGTTGACGTTTGAAGAAAGGAGCCTAACCGATATAGTCAGGATCAACAACCCGGAATAAGACACTAAAGCCTGCAGGACACTTGAGACTTTCAATTTTTTTTTCCCTGTTCATGAGCAATTCAATCTCAAGGTGCTTACTAGACATTCCTTAAATATTTTGATGCCCTAGAGTGAAAGTCTTTGGATTCCATTCCATTCTGATACCATTCTATAAGGTATATTTAAGCTAGAGGTATCATATATTTTAAATTGGTTTTGTAATACGGAATCGTCTGTGATCGCTATATCAGTCGACGGATGAAATTTAAAGGGCGCGGGTAAATTGAGGTTAATGATGGGACGGCATGCTAGTAACAATTGTTATTTACCTTCATAACTGTATTATCGTAAAATATTCTAGAACCCAGGGTTCGAATGCACTTAACTGCTACAATACTTATGCTATTAATTGTGTTCATTTCAAATTTTGAAGGATATGCAAACTTAAATCTCTTATATGCCAGGAATATATTCCTCAAAAACATCTTTTCAAACCTTCTTCCCAAAACCAGCTTGGGTCGGCTTTAAGTCTGCTACGTTACGGCTAAACTTCAATTTTTTACGCGGAGCGACTGCCATCAGACCTTCATAATCCAAGTACTGGGCGATATCGAAGTTATGTAGAAAGACGGTCGGTGGGTCACAACATGAATATGTTGCCTAATACAGTCAGAAAAATGAACGTTCACATTCACAGTTTTACTATAGATTTGAAAACACAAAACCCACACAAAAGAACAAAACAATTATTTTGCAAAGTAAGCTCACGTGTATGTTGAATTAATAGCAGGATCATCGCCCTGAAATGTTATTCACGTGGACTGTAGTATAAAAATGTTCTTTCCTTAACTGTTGCACTGTTATTTAACTCACTTAGCCACATAATTAATTACTTTATGCAAGTTGCGAACGGTACTTGGAGTTGAAAACGTGCATATTAATATACATACTACTACTACACATTTACTCTACAACTGTAACTAAGTAAAATATTGTTAAGCAAGAATATTTTTGTAATTGGTACATAGAAATAGTAGATATCCTAGCTTTTGACAGGAATAAAGTGAGATAAAAGACGAGAGTCAACGCTTGTTTAAGACAAATTTCTTTAGTCTCTTCTCTTTTCTCTTTCTTTACTTTCGCACTTTTACTTAGTGCGAAAAAATACTTTTGATATTTATTGTTGTACACATAACACAATGTAGTGACTTCAGAAGTAATATTGGTATTTTTGAACGTTAATCTATTTTCGTATTTAGAGAGTTCAAATTAATTGTCAAAAAGTTCAAGAACATTAAAATTATCAAGACACTGTGCAACTATTCTGACACTTTCTGTAACAATAAAGTAACTTAAAATATCTATACTCGTAAAATGTTAAGTTGGTTTGTGTAAACTTCAAAAACTTAAAAGTTCTGCTCTAATTGAGCTAAAATTTTGACACGATATACAATGCAACCACAATGTACCACAGCGAAGCATGGCAGGGTACAGCTATCAATACTTATATTATAAATGTGAAAGTGAGTTTGTTTGTTGGTTACGCTTTCAAACCACTAAACCGATTTTCAAAAATCTTTCACCTATGGAAAGCTACATTACCAGCGAATAACAGGCTACTTTTTTACCGCGATGACCGATCTTCATGCGGGCGAAACCGTGGCCATAAGCTAGTACTAGTAGTAGTAGAAAGTTGGTTAGTTTGATGATATCTAATTTATGAATAGTTTAAAACTTTTTAAGACACATTAGTTTGAAAACTTCAGAGTTATAGATCAGGTCCTTTCTGTCCAAACTGCCACCATTGATAAGACGATCGTTAGATTACGTTCTCTTCTATCGCTGTTTTAACTTTCTTAAGATCTCTGAGACTAAATTAAGAAAGACATGAAAAATCTACAATTGATGCTTAATTTAAGAAGAATAAAATATGTGGGAATAAAAATATTCAGAAATAGCTTATTGGCGAATTATAGGCAATCGGCAATTAACAACGAATCATGTTAATTTGGTCATGTATCTGATCTAAGTAGTAATCAGGCAATCGATGTAAGTAATTCAATAGTCCATTTTTTACCGACGTCTATGGGTCTACAGCGTAATGAATTATAATAAATGAAGTCTTCATTTCTTAATTTTAGACTTTAAGGGGTGGTACTTTGGGCTTATACAATAATACAGTGACCGAAGAGTTCCAATCCCAAATAATAAAAACTGAAATAAATTAATTAAAAAGAGGGTGCCTATGAATACTAACAAGAAAAATAAACAAACAAAACGAAGCGTTCACTCTCGTCTTAAAAAAGAAACAAGTACTTGGACTTAACCAA